TTGGAAACATGTGACTGGGATGTCATAGCAATTACTGAGACATGGCTCAGGAATAGACAGGACTGGCAGCTTAATGTTCTCGGGTGTAGATGCTATAGGATGGATAGAAAGGGGTGGGGGTGTTGCAATATGGATAACATTATAGCTGTGCTTAGGGAGGGTATTTCTGAGAATACATTCATGGAAGCTATTTGGGTGGAACTGAGAAATAAGAAAGGGTTGATCACCTTATTGTGATTGTAGTATAGAACCCCACCCCACTAATAATCAGCAGGTAATTAAGAAACAAATTCATAAGGAGAGCTCAGTTATCTGTAACAATAATCGATGGTTATGGTAGGGAATTTTAACTTTCCAAACATAGACTGGGATTGCCGTGGGTGTTAAAGGATTGGATGGAGAGGAATTTAAGAGTGTACAAAAAATTTTCTGATTCAGTATGTGGATGTACCTACTAGAGAAGGTGCAAAACCTGACCTGCTCTTGGGAAATAAGGCTGTGCAGGTAACTATGGTGTCAGTGAGGGAGCATTTTGGAGCCAGTCACCATAACTCTATTTGTTTTAAAATAGTGATGGAAAAGTGTAGACTGGATCTAAAAGTTAATATTCTTAATTGGAGGAAGGCCAATTTTGATGGTATTAGGCAAGAACTTTCAAAAGTTGATCGGGGGTGGATGTTTGCAGGTAAAGGGACGACTGGAAAATGGGAAGCTTTCAAAAATGAGATAACAAGAGCCCAGATATGTTCCTGTTAGGGTGAAGGGCAAGGCTGGTAGGTGTAGGGAATGCTGAATGACGAGAGAAATTGACATTTTGCTCAAGAAAAAGAAGAAAGCATATGTCAAGTACAGACAGCAGTGATCGAGTGAACCCTGAGAAGAGTTCAAAGGCAGTAGGAGTATACTTAAGAGGGAATCAGGAGGGCATAAAGCGAACATGAGATAGCCTTTGCAAACAGGATAAAGGAGAATCCAAAGGGATTTTATAAATACATTAGGGACAGAAGAGTAAGTAGGGAGAGAATAGGGCCCCTTTAAAGATCAGCAAGACCACCTACATGTGGGACCGCAGGAGATGGGGGAGATACTAATTTAGTATATTGCAGCAGTGTTTACCATGGAGAAGGATATGGAAGATATAGAACGTGAGGAAATAGATAGCAACATCTTGAAAAATGTCTGTATTACAGAGGAGGAGGTGCTGGACGTCTTAAAACACGTAAAGATGGATAAATCCCTGGGACCTGATCAGGTGTACTCTAGAACTCTATGGGAAGCTGGGCCCCTTGCTGAGATATTGTATCATCGATAGCCACAGGTGAGGTGCCAGAAGATTGGAGGGTGGCTAATGTGGTGCACTATTTAAGAAAGGTGGTAAGGAAAAGCCAGGAAACTATAGACCGGTGAGTCTGACATTGTTGGAAGGAATCCTGTGGGACAGGATTTACATGTATTTGGAAAGACAAGGACTGATTAGGGATAGCCGACATGGCTTTTGCAAGGGAAGTCATGTCTCACTAACTTGATTGAGTGTTTTGAAGAAATAACAAAGAGAATTGATGAGGGCAGAGCGGTGGAGGTGATCTATATGGACTTCAGTAAGGTGTTCGACAAGGTTCCTCATGATAGAGTGGTTAGCAAGGTTAGATCACATGGAATACAGGGAGATTTAGCCATTTGGATACAGAACTGGCTAGAAGGTAAAAGACAGAGCGTGGTGGTGGAGGATTGCTTTATAGACTGGAGGCCTGTGACCAGTGGTGTGTCACAATGATCAGTGCTGGGTCCACCGCTTTTCGTCATTTATATAAATGATTTGGATGTTAACATAGGAGGTGTGGTTAGTAAGTTTGCAGATGATACCAAAATTGGAGGTGTAGTGGACAGTGAAGCAGGTTACCTCAAACTACAACAGGATCTTGATCAGATGGGGCAATGGGCTGGGGAGTGGCAGATGGGGTTTAATTTAGATAAATGTGAGGTGCTGCATTTTGGAAAAGCAAATGAAGGCAGGACTTATACAATTAACGGTAAGGTCCTGGGGAGTGTTGCTGGAAGAAGAGGTCTTGGAGTGCACATTCATAGTTCCTTGAAAGTGGAGTCGCAGGTAGATAGCATAATGAAGAAGGCATTTGGTATGCTTGCCTTTATTGGTCAGTGCATTGAGGATAGGAGTTGGGAGGTCATGTTGCAGCTGTACAGGACATTGGTTAGGCTACTTTTGGAAGACTATGTTCAATTTTGTTCACTCTGCTATTGGAAGGTTGTTGTGAAACTTGAAAAGGTTCAGAAAAGATATACAAGGATGTTGCCAGGGTTGGAGCATTTCAGTAATAGGGAGAGGCTGAATAGGCTGGGGCTATTTTCCCTGGAGCATCGAAGGCTGAGGGGTGACCTTATAGAGGTTTATAAAATCATGAGGGGCATGGATAGAGTAAATAGACAAGGTCTTTTTCCCAGGTAGGAGAGTCCAAACTAGAGGGCATAGGTTTAAGGTGAGAGGAGAAAAATTTAAAAGGGACTAGAGAGGGAATGTTTTCATGCAGAAGGTGGTGCATGTATGGAATGAACCGCCAGAGGAAGTGGTGGAGACGGGTACAATTAGAGCATTTAAACGGTATCCCGATGGGTATGTGAATAGGAAAGGTTTAGAGGGATATGGACTAAATGCAGGCAAATGGGACTAGATTAATTCAGTATATCTGGTCAGCATGGACGAGTTGCACCAAAGGGTCGATTTCCATGCTGTACAACTCCATGACTCTATGACTGTTACTTTGTAGAGCTTAGAGCAAAACCAGCAAAAACTCTGTACCATAAGCTGTGACTGATTTAGGTTGTGATTGTGTCATTGCATTTGAAAATAAGAATGATGCCCACAAACAGGAGTTACACTTCGAAAGCTTGACTTTGATTACCAGTGGATAGTAGGTGGTGAATTGAGTTCACGCTGTCTTCCAGTTGTGATTCTGAATGTGGCAGTCACGCTAAATCATCAGCCTCCTAACATATAAACAAGGAAAGGGATGACTTGTGCTCGATAGTCCTTGCTAGAGTTTGCCTCTGATAAAAATGGTTTCTCTGCACACATTGGCAAAGTCCCTCTGATTAAATATCATTAAATACTTTGTCGTCTCTGCCTCATTTAAAATTTTGATTTTGATTTTTTAAAATTCTTTCACTACACAAACATCAATGTATCTCCCATTTAATTCATCAAAAATGTGCAAGCAGAACAAAAACAGAGTTTTTTCCTTCAGGTTTGCACTTTAAAGAGTATTAAAAGAAAAGTGAAAAATGTTTGCGGTCATGTACACTTAAAGGAATCAATATTCATACTGGATGCAAAAATGACTGTCACTTCCTAACCATTTATTTCTGCAGATTACTTGGACAAGGCAAACTAAATAGTGGAACTACTAAAGATAAAATCTACATTTGGTATATAATTTTAAAAAGCAGAAAGCAATATCTGTGAGGCTTTTATTCAAGAATAACAATCCCAGTTATTTGAGAATTAAAATTTGAAAATACAGCCCACATTGTTCTTTTCAAAAGTTAACAGATATCAAAAATGATTAATTCATTCAATATTTTAAACTGGAAATTTATCATAGTTTCATTTTGTTTTTCATTTATTATTAATTCACCATCAATTAATCCATGTAGCCCTGGACCAATATTTTGGAGTGCTATGATACTTAATTGTAATCATTGTGTGCTCATTTTGATTTAATTTTGAATATGTTAATGTTAAAACCAATGTTGTCTGGATTGCACGTTTAAAATATTTGCATTGTCATTGTGAATGTTGTGTTCATGATCGTCGCTTCTCATTGTTTCCTTAAGAATCGAGTGTAAGTATAGCTTTTGTCATGAAGTGTCTGGGGTTTTCAATCAATAATTACTTCACAAATTTTTTTTTGTATGAATAGAAGTTATTATAGAGTGAAGTGTCCAAATAAATACTTCAGTTCCAAATCTTTTGATGTCCCTGGCAAAATCCTGAAAATGAAAAAACTTTTCAGGAGTTTGTATCATTCATAGCTTCTCCCAGAAAAGCTTATAAATTGTATAGAGCTGGAGCTGTCACCCATCCAGTGGTACAAATGCTCTGTATTTTTATTAAAAGTTTAAGTACTGTGACTCGTGCATGTTTGTGTAAACGTTTGGAAGAAGAAGCCAACAATAAAACATGAATGAGAACACTTAAAATTCTGAGGTTATGACGTAAATAAATTATTTTAAATATATATGCTTACCGGTGCAAATGCAGCCTGATAACGAAATACAGTTTGTTTAATGAGTATTTATTTCTTAATGTCCCACTTAGAAGTATTTACTTTCTTGTTCCATAATCAATTATTCCTGCATGTACTGTGCTGTCTCTTTAGTTTGTGTGAACCAATCAATTCACTGATAAGTTTTGTTTCATATAAACTCATTTCTAATGCTCATTTTCTAACTTGTGAAATTCTTTTTCCAGTTACCGGATTCATTATAAGGATATGTACAAATTGTTGCATATTATCTCACCACCTCTTGGCTTAGGAAAGAACTGCCCACATAGGTTGGCCTATAAGGTTTGAATTTAAACTGATAAGCAGAATATCCAAAAAAAACTTGACTGCCTGCATCTGAATAGGAATGATTGACTTGACCATCTCTTCTGTTCAATTCAACGTTTTAGCTTTTATGAGTTTGCTAGAGATTTTTTGGCATGCTGACTTGAAGTATGTTCTCTGACAGGAAGCCATCATCCCTTTTATCATGTACTAAGCTGTCAATCATTCCTTATTGAAACAGGGATTAGGGAGTCTAGATTTCATTGCGAGAAGGCATATTCCAATGCAAAGCCTGTATTTGCACTGGAAAATCTTAACACTTCCATTTTGGAATCTAATTAACCTGGATTTCTGTGTTTCTTTTCCTTTTTTGTTTTTGTTCCCTTTTCTGTTTTGTGTTTTTGTCTTCGCTTTTGCTTCACTTCTTTTCCAAAGTGGGCGCATCACTTACAATGACATGTATGAGATGCTGAGACACATGTGTCCACCCTTAGGCCTGGGAAAGAAATGTCCTGCAAGAGTCGCCTACAAGGTAGCATATAAACCAAGCACACACAAAACAACTTTTGCGTGTCAAATCCAAATCTGTGTTTTCCTGTACGTGCTGTTATATTTACGTAACCGTGTTCATGTTTTTCCATTTTCCAATCAGAAGTCGCATTGTCAATCATGATTTTGATCTGTCTGTGTTTTGTGAAATTGAACAGTTTTTGTTTAGTCAATAAAGAATGTTATTTCATAAAGTGTTCAATTACATTTTATAGATACCTAAATAGGATTTTATTCTAATTTCTATTGCATTTCAAACCCTAGTCTATAAACAATGGTAAATACTTAATTAAATGAAGAATTTTTCTATGCCAAATTTTGTCACTGAACCTGCATACTGCTTTGAATTGTTGCCTTTTTAACGGAAGCAAATAAATTCCGCTGCTTTTTTTTAAAAACATGCTGATATGTAGTATCATACAGCTATAGAAAGTATTTCAAATAATGGAAATTTGCTCACACAGTGAGGCTGACAACAATGGCAGCACCCTGTCTATAACAACCATAATGAGTTCCAACAGAAGTGTGCAGACCAGTGATCCAGAGCTTTCTAAAATAAATACTAAATCACGTTTCTATTATATACGTTAAATTGAACGACACAAACAGGGGTGTGCAAGTAATTTGTGTGTTAGTTCTTGTGTCTCGTGTCCAAAAATGTCCTGTCGCAAGCCACTTTTCTTTCATGTCTCACCTCAAGTGTCCTTTCTTTGCATCTCTTTTGATTTGTGAAGTCACCCAGCCATTTAAAATTAATGTAAGAATCTGTTTTGTTTATTTTTTCAATAAAAGTCAATGCCACTTAAAAACGTTGATTTCTGAAACCAAAAGGTATGAAAGGGAGTTAGGTGTGGAATTAACAAAATAACGCATAAGAATTACATAGAGAAAGAGAGAAGTACGAAGGGTGGAAGCAAACAGTCTTCTATAAGAAGATCATAGAATTAGAGAAATTGGGATGTAATTAGAGACGGGCACAAGAAGAGAGACACTTTGATTTTATATTCCCCATAACTGCAGCAACAAAAGAGCTGAAATTTTAGATAAATCAACCATAAAGATCTTTCTTGATAATTGTGCATTACATATTCACTCATTACCATCGGCATTTAATTGTTTATAAGTTCAGCAATTTATTTGCAGTCACAATAGCTAGTAAATATAACAGCACATTTTTAGTTTAGAACTTGTAGATGTGCAATGGAACATTGTGATTGTATCTACCTTGTACTATATACAGTGACAATATTCCATATTTAACAGTTTGTATTGAAGATTATATTGTTACAAAGATCTTTCTCTTTATTTTACTTCTCTGTCCTTTTACCATTCGCAAAAAGACCTTTCTTTAAATCATATTGTGTGGCAAAAATTCAAAATCTGCTTTTTCTTATTATTTTAAAATTCAATTGTAAATCTGAAGTTTGTTCTCTTTTTCTTCCGCAATCGTATATCATTCTGTCAGGTCTTCAAAGTCTCTTCAGAACAGAAGACAAATCCCTGTACAGTTCATGTGCCATTGCATTCTAGCATGGACTAAATGGCTAGTCTTTTGAATTGCATGCAAGTCTGTGCCTGTTTCTGCTCTATTGGGGAACTCTCCATCTGTCTGCTCATTGCTATGCATTTCTCTCTCCCTCTCTGTCGCTCACTTCTCTTGCTCTCGAATGGATTCACACTGACTCTATTTCAGTAAGTTGTTTGATGCATTGTGTTGTATTAAGACTAAAGATGCTCACTTGTGTTAACTCCTGGTCTGCTGATTTGAACTAGTGTCATAGTTCTTCCTGGGTTTGCAAAAATTGTGAACCTGTCTTCTTTCAAGAGCTTTATCGGCTAATTATTTTATCCTCAGAAGGTACTGGCAAGTGTATTGCTGCTTGAAGTGTTTTTTTTAATCATATTTCCATTTGTCTGATTAAAGCACAATGATTAGATACAATACATGCAGTGATTACGAGCAATCCCACTGAGGCCACAAAAAGACAAAGTCCAAGACCAAACCAAAACAATTACCAAAACAAATGTATTCTCTGTTTCCATTGTACACAATAGGAAAGTTTGATATCATTTTCCTAGCACTTTTTAAGGGGAAAGTTGATTTCAGATTTGACACCTGTTGCATCAGTAGATGAAGAGGTAACATTGTTAAAAGTGCAGCTTACCAAATGCATTGTCTGTCATTTACATTTAATGCAGTAAAACCCACTAATCCCCCATGTCCTTGTTGCTATTTGCTTGCAGCGGCTTGTAAGAATGAACATGCCAATTGCTGAAGATGGCTCTGTGCATTTCACGTCTACGCTGATGGCATTGATTAGAACAGCGCTTGATATCAAGATTGCTGGAGGTGAGTGGACAGGCTATACCACATTGGTAGTAGAATTGAGAGCATCGAATTTGACTGGAAGATTCAGCTCAAAATGTGTTAATTACAATGTATATTTCCGAGAATACAAAAAGAACTTCGACCTACCTGAGCACTTGTTATTCTGTTACAGCGTTTGAATTTGAAATGTTAGAATGCATATTACAAATCACATAATTGTTACCGTGCTGCAGAAAGCCATTTGGCCCATTATGTCTGCACCTGATCTCCAAAAGAGTGATGATTCAGAATAGGCTTAAACTATAAATGTAAGTTGATCTTTGCATTGAACAACGCTGTGTAATTTTTTTGCTGCGCTGCGGTATTGTCCCAATTGTCACAATGTTGCCATGCTTTGAAAATGTAAAAGACAATGTTCCGTTAACCTCTGTTGTCATGTTTTTCTTTCTCCCTGTGATTCAAACTGACAGCTTGGAACAAACGAAGAAGAACTTTAGCAAAAAAAAAACTGTGCCTGCTTTTCTCTTAGTTCCATTTTAAAATGGAAAGAGGACACTCTTTTGCTCTGTTACTTTCAGGCAATGTAGCTGCAAGTTTTTTTTTTTGAAAATGACAGATGGTTGAATGTTTGGATGGATTTCGAAGTTGAAAATGGATTCAACTCATCAGATGATCTGTTGGTATAAAAACTGACTGAAAATTTTGAGAGGCTGTAAAAACAGAATATGCCTTTGATGTTTGTTGCCTAAGTTAGCCATTTAAATGATTACAATTCGTTTTTGCACTGGAGTAGTTTTGTTATCTTTCCTGTCTCAATGAAAACATGTTTCAGTTCAGGACCTTATTAGATTGTTGGAGGTTTCATTTATTGTCCCTCAGTGATTCTAAAGTAATTCATTCCTAATTAATGGCAGCCGAGATTGTCAAAGAATTTAAACAAGAAACTTGAAGTCAGCTTTCTGGAACAAGAACCTGTTGAAGCTGAACAAGGAGGCCATCAATGACAATCTTGGTCATTGAGTAGTATCTTCATATTTCAGGGGTGGCGGGGCTGGAGGTGTGAAGGTGACCCAATTAAGCAAGGTGATGGTATTCTTGAACCCATTACCTTACCACTTCCACTTGAATTAAGGTCTTGGCAGGAAGGTGGAGCTGGGGCCTTCCACTGCCATTTGTGGTCAATGAAACAAGGGAAGATAGTTTATGAAATAGATTTGACTGAGTCAGGAGTTTCATACTGATAACCATTTAATTGAGAAGCATGTATATTCCTGTTGTTTCTATTCAATTACAGTCCTGTATTTTCAATGAAGTTAAACATTTTATTCTTGCTGCAATGGATATCTGACCTAATAAAACATCGGGCTTCTTGTTCAGCATTATAAAATAGGCAATGAGAATGCAAATAATGAAAGTCATTCGGGGAGGCAGTGGCATTGACATAATGTCATTGGGCTAGTAGTCCAGAAACTCAGGCTAATGTTCTGAGGGCATGGGTTCCGAATCCCACCGTAATATTTGAATTCAGTAAAAATGTGGAATTAAAAAGCTAGTTGAATGGCAGCCATTATTGTACAGGCCCATCTGATACACTAATACCCTTTATAGAAGGAAATTGACCATTCTTACTTGGTCTGGCCTCCATCTGACTCAAGACCCACAGCAATGTGCCTGACACTTAGTTGTCCTCCCGACAATTAGGGATGGGCAATAAATGCTGACCTGGTTAGCAACACCCATATCCCATGAATGAATTAAAAAAAAGAAAATTTTCACAGAGTGACCTATAAAAGTCATCACATACCTTCCCCATTAAGTGCTTTGTGGCACACAAGGTAGCATCTGTACTTCTGGGTCAGGAGTTCGAGGTTCAAGTCCCAAAATGTGTCAAAACAAGTCTGAACAGATTGATTAAAAATACTTGCACCTTCCACATATCCAAGAGTTTGGACTTCCCAAGGATAATAAGTTTCCTAACTAGTTCTAATAATCTAATGATGTTTATGAAGCAGATTAAGCCTGGATGTGTAGCTTTTAATAACTGTCAGGAATCCATCCTCATGTATGTGTAAATAATTGAGTCACAGCATTGTTGGTTTAGTGATATCAGTAGGCATGCAAGCATTTAAGCTGGACGGACTAAAAAATATATTTAGGGAAAAATATGCAAACCAAGTGAAACAATCATTTGAAATTTGTCAATAAAATTAAGCCTCTACAATATCCACTGCAACCTGCAGTCCCTGATGTAAGTCCTATCACTGAGGTCTTCACTGATCTTTCTCCCTTTGTTCATACCACAATGGCCCAGCAGTGCTCACTACATGAACTTCCTGATGTTTATAAATTACTCCCTTCAACTGACACAGGCTAAAGCAGCAGCTGCATGTTAACATTGTTAGGATCTATTGCTGTAACTTGCAGGTCACAACACATCCAACTCTGATTAGTTTCCCCAGTTATTGAAGGTTCTCCATTCACAAACTTAAAGTGAGTTTAAAAACATTGCTTTCTGCTTTAAGGTTAAAATTGTTAAATTCAAATTTGCTCATGTACTGTGTTATTTATACTTACTAATTCTATTTATGAATCTCTTGAATTTTAAACAAGCATATAGCTTTACATTAATATTAGTAGATTGTTGTGTATTTTTCATTAATGTTAGTGAATGGGGGAAAATATAGACCAGTATTCTGAAAAACCGAATTGGAGCTCGTTTTTCCAACTCAGAAGGTACTTGTGTCCGTATGTTTATAATTAAATAAAGAATGATTCCGAATGGAGGAATTATGAGAGTCACATCAGGAAATTTACTGAAAGTTCCTCAATTCAGCCACAGTGGAAACCTTTATTCCAAGTGAAAATATAACTTTCCATCATAGAAAACAATAATAGATACTGCAGTCAACTTGAGTCAGTAATAAGAAAATCATAATTACATAGTAATTGGCAACTAGTGATAGTAATTGAATAATAGAAATGTAAGTAGTCAAAAATCTCAATACATCTGACAAAACTAGACTTATTAGCACTCTTCATCAAATTTACAAATTATCTTGGTTATCTTTTACCAGAGAGTAAAGGTCTCTAGTACCTTTTTTGATACCCAGTTGTATTTTGCAAATCATAAGACAAGTTTTTTTTTTAAATTATAATTGCTTTTCTTATATTCTGGCAGTAAAACATTTTTGAGTTTGAGATGTCAGGGTGATATTGTCAAAGTTAAAATATAATTTAATTTTCAAGTTGACAATTTGAAGATTGCTGTCAGCAAGAAACCAGAGAAAAAAAAATGGCTCTGAAATCAAGACAGGTAGATTTGTTACATGATGACAGTTACCGAAAAGAACCAACCAACAAGGTTCTGAACTGACAATACATAGCAAATTGAATGGGTCTGGAATTGGCCATTACTTCTCTGCCTTTGACACAGCGCAGGAGCCAGCTTCACATATCCTGTGTGGGTGGAGCAGCAATTGACATCTGCTGCCGTGTAGTATAGATTGAAAAACTGATGCCTGTGCACAGACTCAACACGGCCTGGTCACATTATATCTCAAAGAGTGATCAAATCAGATCTATAAAGGTTGCTGTTTAAGTGAAAGCTGATCTGCTAGGAACCAGAAAAATCTGTTTACTATTCAGTGCTAAGTTCTGCTGGCTCCTCAATTTGAAGTGTCCAGAGGAGAACAAAATGCCACAAGTATGACTAATAGAACTTAAAAAAAAAACTTAACCCTTTTGTAGAACATTTTCAATTTTCAGAAGATAATTTGAAATATTTTAAAGATACTCAGTTATCATAATATCTTTATTTACTCAGAGAGTAGTAAGGGCGTGGAATGCCCTGCCTGCAAAAATAGTAGACTCGCCCACTTTAAGGGCACTTAAATCGTCATTGGATAAACATATGGATGATAATGGAATAGTTTAGGTTAGATGGGCTTCAGATTGGTTTCACAGGTCGGCGCAACATCGAGGGCCGAAGGGCCTGTACTGCGCTGTAATGTTCTATGTTCTATGCTCTATGTTCTTTATGCTGCAGTCCATCTCTCTGCAAAAATGACTGGAGATTTTTGATATGAGGCAAGCATGACATTTTTAATCATGTACTTAAATTGCACCTATTAATTGGAAGGACCACAGCTGATATTTATGATCTAACAACATCAAGTCATATTAGGGTGTCAATAAATGCTGAAGGCATTGATAAAACACACAGTGTCAACAGATAGTTAAATTCCCATTTTGACATCAATACAATATAACATGTTGACACATTTTAAAAAGCACCAGCTAAACATTATTTTGCAATATGTCAGAGAAATTAAGTAGGTGTTTGCCATGGTTATGCTAATGTAAATCATGGCAGTTAGTTAAATGATTTGAGTACTAGCAGGAAAGATTTCTCAATGTATGCATGTACATTTTTTTCTAGGATATGATAATATTTTTGTGAAAGGATTTGTGAAATGTAGTCTGTTTAATATCATATATGCATGAGGTCTGGTGACTTAATGCTGTGTGACAACAGAACAACAGAGAAGAAAGAGAGATAACAAGGTGTAGAGCTGGATGAACAAGCAGGCCAAGCAGCATCAGAGGAGCAGGAAGGCTGACGTTTCAGGCCTAGACCCTTCTTCAGAAATGGAGGAGGTGAAGGGGGTTCTGAAATAAATAGGGAGAGAGGGGGAGGCGGATAGAAGATGGATAGAGGAGAATTGAATCAGAGATAGTAGGCACTGCAGATGCTGGAGAATCCGAGACAACAAGGTGCAGGGCTGGATGAACACAGCAGGCCAAGCAGCATCATAGGAGCAGAAAGGCTGACGTTTCGGGCCTAGACCCTTCATCAGAAAAGGGGGAGGGGAAGGGGGTTCTGAAATAAATAGGGAGAGAGTGGGAGGCGGATAGAAGATGGATAGAGGAGAGGATAGGTGGAGAGGAAACAAACAGGTCAAAGAGGCGGGGATGGGGCCAGTAAAAGTGAGTGTAGGTGGGGAGTTAGGGAGGGGATAGGT